TCTTGAGCATCTGTGTTGAAGATGAGCGTCACCATCCGATGTCTGCTTTATGTTTCTGCCTGTCTTTAAACTCGTGCAGCACTTTGGTCGACTCAGGTTGTTTTAAACACATTAAAAAAAATCTGTTTTCATCCATTTGATGTTTGTGTTTTGTGTTCAACGCGACTACATTAAGATTTAGTGCTTCAGGTCTGCAGCGGTTGATAAACTCGCTCAAAAAACTGTTTAATTTTGCTTATGCGAAGTAATCTGTGCTCGATGTTGAATCAAAAAATGTTTTGGGCAAATAGCAGAACCAGCGGACTGTGGGATGTGAATTAAAGCAACGACATCCTAAGAGACTTGTTTGTGTTCAGGGAGCAGGAAATGAAAGTGTACCAGGCCAGGAGGAGTCTGGAGGAGGCGCTGACGGCTGACGGTTTGGCGCGGGCCGCCGAAAACAGCCGAGAGCTGCTGCGGGGGAGGACGGCCTGAAGACGGACGGCCTGAAGACGGACGGGTGAGACGCACGACACAGCAGCGCTAGAACGGGCCAGAGACGCCTCCTTCAGATGAGATACGATCGCAGACGTGATGCAGCTGACATTAGGCAGTTGTCATGGTAACCCGACCTGCTTTCAGGCAGGCGAGATGAGGTGCACATCAGTCAGCGAGTAGGAGAGATAAAAGATCTGTCGGGGCGAAGAGGGGGAAAAGAAAGTCGCCGCGACGACGGTTTTTAAAAGTCCGCGGACGTCAGATGGCGTGATGAGTGTGATGGAAGGAAGTGGAGCGCTGCAGCTCGGTTGCTTTTACTTGCATCATTATCACAGCGACTAATCACGCCACTCATCTTCTCCTCCTCCTCCTCCTCCTCCTCCTCACTCAGGCTTCCTGCTCAGACACTCGATATCTGGCTCAGAGGGACGTTTGGATTTATGTGTTTGCAACTGTTCACGACTGGGATGCCGTTAATTTAATAAGTCATGACCTCACTGTCATGTCAGATGCTTGTTCAGGGACGTTTTCTACCGTCTGGCTGGTTAAAGGCTTGACAGATGAAAATATAGCAGCAGATTAGGCAGAAGCAGAAGGTTGTGCATGTCAGGAAGTGTGCTGTAGATGAGATGTGGAGCCTCTTACTGTGAGGAGGCATCGTTCAGACTACAGGAAGTTCATGTTGGCAGCAGAGAGCATTGTGGGAGTTTAGCTAGTAGAGGGGACCATGACAGAGTGTCCTGTGGCGCTTAATGCCAACTAGCCAGAACTCTCATGTTGTTAGCAACCTCTTACTGATTCCTGAGATGAGAATAAAGATGTAGAGAGGATTGTGAGGGTTTACTAGCAACAGGTCCATGACAGAGACTGTGTGCTGGTTAATGACCTCCGACTAGCGCTCTCTTATTCTGGATGAGCTTAAGTCTCACATTTCTTCAAACCAGTACAAAGGTGGTTCATTATACTAATGATTGGATGTTAATCTAGTAACTGTGGTTAATAATTTAACCAATTAACATATTAACTGATATGGCAGAAGAAGAAGGCCGTGCATGTCAGTCAACGTATCGTAGACCAGCTGTAGTACCTGGTTGTTCCACCAGGTGGAGCCTCTTCCTGTTTAAGAGACCTGAGGAGGCGTCACTCAGGCTACAGCTCATGTTGGCAGCAGAGAGCATTGTGGGAGTTTAACAGCAACAGGACCATGACAGAGGCTCTGAGGAGGTTCATGACCTCCGACTAGCGCTAACTTACTCAAGATGAGCTTAAGTGTCACATGTCGCTGCAGTTTCAATGTTTTGGCTCAAAACAGTACAAAGATGGTTCATTATGCTAATGACTAACCGTTAATTAACTGTGATTCATAATTTATCCAATTAAAAAGATATTAATCGATCAGGCAGAAGAAGAAGGCCATGCATGTCAGAAAATATGTCGTAGACCAGCTGTAGTACCTGGTTGTTCCACCAGGTGGAGCCTCTGACTGTTTAATCCTGTACTGGTGTTACTTAGTGGCATAAAACGGCTGCTTTTGTAACTTGTATCATATAAAGAGAAGGAAAAACCAAGGAAGCATTCAAGAAAGGTCAACCGCAAAACACACCAGAAAGTTTGAAAAGCGTGTTAGCTTTAAAAAATCGTCAAAATGATAAAATGAGTAAGAAACTGTTCAAAACAAACAAACAAAAAAAAGGCATGTTCCATTACGTTTTTCCCCCCAGTGATTTTATTATTATCATTTACTTTGTGCTTAGCATCTGCTGATAGTATTTTCCTATATAATACACAGTTTATGTGTCGCAGACCAGCTGTAGTACCTGGTTGTTCCACCAGGTGGAGCCTCTTCCTGTTTAATACTGTAGAGACCAGAGGAGGCGTCTCCAGACTACAGTTCATGGTGACAGCAGAGAGCATTGTGGGAGTGATTTAAACAATAATTCAGTTATTGATTGGTTTAGATAGAAACTAATTCCTGTATCTGTACATAACAGGACGGACAATGAAAACCACCGACAACAAACACACGACGGGAACATAAAAACGTTTGGTGTCGGGATAACGCTGGAGTTAGCATACAGGTGGTTTCACAAAGAAAAGGACGAATAAATGAGTCATTTATAGACAGATATTTGCTGTTTTGTCACCACTTTACAGGTTCTGAACGTTGCATTATGATGATTTTCTGACACTGTTGCTGCCAGATTCTCACATCGTTTTATTGGCAGCTTTGTTGTGACAGTGTGGGACGGTTTTCAGCTAGCTGGAGGATTTCTTGTGCATCAGCTGTTCCCGTCGTGGTCGTAATCGAGGGACGCCGCCGGCTGCACCTTTAAACGCTGCGTACGCGTGATGGATGATGTCGCGTTGACGCGATACGTCGGCCGCGTGTCGCATCGCAGTCTGTCGGGTTATTGGTTACGTTTCACTCTGCACAGCCTGTAAACAAACAGCAGATTAAAGAACATTTACTTTGAGAAGTTCACGCACCCATCCATCATTCCTCCATTTCCCAGCTGCTTATCCAGGTCAGGGTCGCCGTGGCAACAGGACAGCAGCAGCAGGCCGGAGGCTGCTTTTGCTGCGAAAAGGTTTTTCTGCTGCAGAGTTTGAGATCTGAGGGTTTGTTTTTCCCACAAGGAGGCTCAAAGAAAAGAGGAGAGTCTTATCAGATGACTGCAGTCTGGCTCGGTGTAGCTCAGCGCTGACGCCACGCTGCAGAACATTAATGTTGCCCGCTGTCATATTCTGAACAATTCACCGTTATTTTACTGATTCTAAAAAATATTTTACTATAATTTATTATTTTTCAATGCTTGACAGAAAAATTATAATAGCTTGATTAC